TAGCCAGGCCTCCCTCACACACCTGCAGCTGGTCCAGAAAGCAAGTGAGAGCACATTTCCCCCCTACTAGCCTCCCTTCACTGGCTCCCTGTACATGTTAAGATTGATTTTGAAATTAAATTGTTTGCTAACAAATCATTAAATGGACTCCAACCTATCGCTCTGACATTTTACAACCACATGTCCAATCAAGGTCACTCAGGTCTGTTGACTAGTTGAAGCACAGGGGAGATCGCCAGTTCTAACCCCCAAACTAAAGAACAGTTGCCTCTACATGTAAAGCTGGCCCCTACACTGCCTGTATTTAAATCAACACATCTTTATTCCTTGGCTTTAATTCAGTTTGAGAGTTGCCCTTTTGTCTTTTACATTGGTCTAAGGGTGGCTATTGTGTTGTTTAAAGATTTTTGTAATTGTTGGTTGTACAGCACTTTTGTCATATGTTCTTGTTTTTAAATGTGCTTTATAAATAAATTTGGATTTTGGAAACTCTGTGGCATCACAGGGATGGAGGATACTTGCACTAGGTGATCCACAGGAGTGTGGTAGAGATGAATACAGTGCACCAGGCGAGGTTGCTGCGCCCTGTTCAGGTCAATAAAGAGGACACTTCCTGAAACCGTTCCCACAGCTGCATATTGTGCAATAGGACAGCAGGCCAGACTTGTCACCTAAACAAAAAAAGATTACCAGTTTTAACTTCACTTACATTTTCCTCCTTTATGTTCACATGCTTACAGAACAAATTTATTAATATGACACTGCTGATATGTTCTGAATTCTAACATGTTGTGAATCTGACCTCAGCTTGAAGAGACAAAGAACCAAGGCAAATGCCATCTGCGGACCACAGCTGCAGTTGTCCCGAATCCCTCACTGACTGTGACCAGTAAAAACACAAACATCACAGCTTACTTAAAAGACACTGACTAAATTACACATGCCATCACGAGACACTGTAATTCTTGAGCAAGACAAATGTTTTACCACACAAATGTTCTTGTCAATGTGTGACAAAGCTGCTGCCACAAAGTTGCCACTGAGAACATCCAGGACTTTCACAATCTCATCTAACTGGGCTGGGTTCAACATATAAATCTGCCCCTGAAAAACAAGAGGCCTGTTATGTTCTAATATTTTCTTTTAGTGCACCTTTTCTCTCAAGTAACATTATTATCGTGTGTTTTTTATGTACACATTGTGGTTTACTGGAGTACTTACAGTATTAGAAGATAAAAGTAATGTTTCAAAGTCAGGGGAGCACATCACTTTCGTGACAGGTCCTTCTAATTGCCATGTTTGTGTGATGCTGATCTTGGTCTCTTTGATTTGCAGGCAGTGCACCACACTCTCCTGTAAAACATAAGCATTTTTAGGTGCTTTTAAATTCTAGTCAGTGAGAATTCTTGATGCCTGAAATTGCAAATCAGATCAGCAACTGGCAGGAGAATGAATGTATTATATTTAATTCAATTCTGAATGTGTCATACTCAGTGAGCCAAACAGATGTTAATGGGTGCATTGGCCTGTACCTTTCCCACAGCAATCAAACCATTCTTGTTAAGGGTTAAACTTTGGAAGCTGCTCTGTCTGAGTTCAGGAATGGCATCAACAGCTGAGCAAAAGTGAAACACAAAACAACATTAGGCAATACTTGCAATACTTGAAGTGTAGAATCGCTCCCAGTGATATTTTGAATATCTGCCCCGTCCCAGTGTCCCAGTGTGTGCGTCTGTTTACTAGTGGGGTTGAAGAGGACCGAGACAGAGAGACTCTCTGGGTCAACAAGGAGCAGAAAGCCTTCCGCACAGCCCACGTAAAGCTCTGATGTGGCTGTCCAGCAGATGGCAGTAGGAGTGAGCCTGGCCTTGGTACACAGTTTAGTCTGTGTAAACACATGTGGAGTTGGGTAACAGTTTACATTTCATCTTTGTTTGTGTACCTGGAAACCAAACACTTTTCCCAACCAATAGATCTTATAATCACAGCTGTATCACCTAAATAAACATTAATTGGTGAAAGTGTATTTGTTTTGTTGTATTAGTGTGTAAATAACAATGGGGCAATACCATAATGCGTTCTGCCTTGTCTCCCCTGAGCCCTGAGATGGCTGAGGGAGGCATCTCAGGACCAAAATAGGGCACTGTGTCGCTGGCAGTATGAGAGGTGGGCACCAATAGCTCAACAAAAGAACCATCAGTTGCTGGAAGCTCAATCACACTGCAATGCAACAAATATGACATACATATTATCAGTGTTCATTGCACTACTACTGCTACTACATGCTTGTGCAGCCAGGTCTGCTTTACCTCGGTTTCAGGACATGAAAGCTGGCACTCTTCTCAATATTCCAGACAGTGAGGGATGTAGTGCCCAGAGCACAGAGCTGGAGCCAATTCAGAGGGTTGAAGACCAAAGTAATGACACCCTGCCCAGCTTGTGGTTGTGTACAAATGGGCTCAGCGCTTTCCCAGTTCCTGCATCACACAGTCATGATTACAGTAACAGAGCTTCTTAGCCTAAATAAACATAACTGAAAACATGAAGTACACAGTGTAAGGTAGTGTACTGCTCTCGGTGGCTTACCACACTGTTATGGTGTGGTCTGGAAGAGAGGAACAACAGCCCAAATATGGACCACCATCACTTAATGTCAGAGATGTGTAGTCCAGTTGTGCTGTTCCTAGTGAAAATGAATGTAAGAGATATGTATACAAACAAACTACACTACCTCAATACATCTTAGAAGAAAAATATAGTAATATCATAGATAAAAACAAAACTTACAGGTGACAATATCATGGCAATTGCATAGATCTAGCTATTGATCCCAGCTACGAGAAAATATCTTACCTTTGAGTTCATTCTTCAACTGCAACTCAGGGAAAACATACACAAATATAGATGGGGATAGTTTTTCCTCAGAGAAAGCAAAGGTCCCATTGTTGCCATTGGCTGTCAGTGCACCAATGCCTCTGCCAGGACTCTTAAACACACTTTGTTTTGTTGTCTCCAGGTTCAGGAAACAGATATGACTTCCACATGTGTAACATATTGTTTTGTTGTCAACAAACACGATGGTCTTGTTTGTAAAACCTTGAATCCACCTGGAAGGAGTAAAACAGCTGAATATTAGCCAGCCACAACTTTTGCCTCTCATGTATGCTAACCTCAGTGACCCATATGTCAGGTGAAGTCAGGTAATCTGGGACACTTTTTGGTAGCTTACCGAGAAAATCACCCAAAACTCATAAGACTTTTAGCACTTATTTTGGTTCTTTGCTATATTTGAAGAAAATATGTTGCCAGGTAAAATATTGTAGCAACTTTGGACCTTCAAACACAGCGAGTACCCCTTCCTCACTCTGATGACATGTTAAAGTAGAATAGGATAACTGGTAACGTAAACTGGGACAGTCATGTTTGTTGTTCATGTTTTTAATGGTTTAATCAATGTTTCAGTTCACTCATGAATTTCTTAAATCATTAACGTAACCTGTGGCTTTCATTAAAAAAAGATCATCCAACTTTTCTGCCATGTTTTCTCTGTTCTTTTGCTGCCTGTTTCCTCGGTACCATACTGTCTACAACATGCATTTATAAGAATGATGGCTTATTTTAGACTAGGGATGCACAGTATTGGATTTTTTGCCGATATCCAATATGCCAATATTATCGATATAACCTAATTTTAGTGATCATCAAGTGTCTTCTGTGATGGAATTAACATCGTGTTATGCATGCCCACCAGCAGATGGAGACATGACATAAAATCCTCTTTAAGGGATGTAATATTCATTCGTTGTGCTGGACGGATTACATACTCTATCTCATCTGGCCTGGGAACGCCCTGGAGTCCCCCAGGAGGAGCTGGAAAGCATTAGTGGGAAGAGGGATGTCTGGGGTGCTTTGCTTGGCCTGCTGCCCCTGTGACCCAGCCCCAGATAAGTGGAAAAAATGGATGGATGTGTGTGCAAAATAAGATTAAAAAAAATCATGTTGGCTGATTCTGATAGTTCATTTTAAAGCCAATATCAGCTGATGCAAGCCGATATTATTGTTCATCCCTACTCTGGACTATTGTGGCTGACATGGACTCAACATCATCTTTGATATTTTCTAACTAACAAAAATACTAGACATGTCTGTAATATGACAGGGTGGCACACTATAGCAAAACCCATGATTTTATGGCACCTGGGAGCCTAAACCATGCTGGTTTCACTTCAGAAAATGTCCAATTTTCACTTAATTTTTTGTCCCATTTTACTTGACTGCATTAAGCACTCACTCAAAACCCTTTCTCCTGAAAAGTAAAGTGTATTGTAAAAATATTTGGATTGTAAGTCAAACAGTTAATAAAATGCAACATCCTGCAACCATTTTGTTGTTGTACCCTTATTGTTTTAGCTGCAGGACTCATTACTAAAATGAGAAAGTTAGCCACAACAAAAGCCACATGGCTAACTTGGCAAGTTCTGAGAGTTAATATTTGTTTTATATCTTTGGTGTGGCCATACTGGTTATCTCAGACCAATAAAAATGATGATGTTTCATGTAAAGGACATTTGTAATGATGTGACAATAACATGTTTGGTGACTGGCTGCTAATATTTAAAGAGCCTAAAATGTAAAACCTTATGTGTCCCATTTTACCTGACTTCACCCTATGCTAACAAATGAGCATCTTAATATTAGCTAGCTTAACTGCTATACACAACTGGTATAAAGCGGCACATTAACGGTGTGCGTTAATTGTAGTTAAGTAAAAAATATATATGTGTGTATTTGTAGCGGAGACATACCTGACTTCTAGACTTCCAAAGTCATCCATTTTAAGACAGGAATAAAAATACACACAGTAAAGTTAATCTTTTTCACCAACACAACACACTAACGGCAGGAAGAGTCGTTGTGTAACCCTGGCAACCACAAAACCCCTAGGAAACCACCCTCTCCTGCTATTGGTTGATATTTTATTCGTCACTCCCATACCGGAAGTATGGTACATATTAAATAATTCAGCCACACACCGCTGTGTACTGTTTGTTTTGTTCTCTTCTCGGTCACTCACAGACTTGAGTCCCAGTTCGTGCCAAAGTTTCACGCTGATTTCATTCACCACCTTAAGTGTCAACATGTCTACAGAGAAGTGTTTCGCCAAAGGTAAGTGGCACAGCAGTTACTCGGCTCACTGAAAAAGCATCTTGCAGGTCATTTTTTTGCTAGCAAGCTAAAGTACGATTAGCATGGCTGTTACTCTTATTTCACTTCCTAAAATCTGTCACGTGCAATTCATAAGTGTATATGCGCTCACTTTCATGTCCACTGAATGCAGTGCTTTTTTAAAACCTGAAACTGATCTTTACATGCTGTCCGTGTTCGCCTTCCCATTGATTTCCTCCATTGTGACATGCTGTCACATGCCTGAAGCGGTGAGGAATGCAATGTTTCTGCACAGTCATGATGACTAGGCATTATATAATCTGCTCAACTCACTACGTATGGCTTACAGTCATAGATAAGATGTCTTGCAAAGAGTCCATAACCAACCCCTTTTTACCTCGAGTATTAATTATACCTGTATTACCCGTACAGGCAGCATACTGCGACCCCCTGTGGATACCCTGATGGCATGCAGTTGTGAAGACTATATATATCTGAGTACTGATATTATAAGTAACTAATTTGTTTTCAGTGCACATGAGAAAGCGTAAAATAGGTCAAACAACTAAATAAAACAGTCAATGAAATAAAAATCAAGAGGATGTCTTTGTTTATAAATAGGTTTTAAGGAAGTGACTTACTGACCAAAGTTTAGGCCATAAATGCTGTGAAAGCACATTTATAAACATGTGTTTTTAAGTTAGATAAGGAACTCTTTGAAGTCTGATCTCATCAGGGAGGTTGTTGGTTTTCAGCCTAGATTGTGGAATGGCCAGCAAAGTCTAAACAGAGGACCTCGGGTTACAGAGGTGAGATGTACTTAGGTGCTAGTCCAGAGCGAGCCTTAAGGATCATCAATAATATCTCAAAATTAATTCTAAAATCTACTGGAAGCCAATGAAGAGAAGCCCAAATGAGAGTTACATGCTCTCTTTTTTGGTTTTGGTCTTAAAATAAATAAAATCATGGATGACAATCTCTAGATTTCTACGGGATAGAATTGAGCTAATCTTGGAGAGTCTCCTTAGCTGCAGAGAACGTGGTGTGACTTTAAGGATGAAGTTCAAACATACAGCTTTATACTTGTGAAAGAAGCAAATTAATAAACTGAGATTATTTACTCCAGTTAGAGTAGTAGTACTACAATGTAAGGATACTCCCCTACTTTGTAACAATGCATCATATGTTATAAAAAGATCATACATTTGGTATGTAAAACATTAATTCATAAAGAAACTTGTAACTGTTGCTGACGGATACATTTTTATTTAGTACATTTTTTTCCATTTGAGGTTGAAGTAGGAAGTATGAAATGAAAACACTGAATCTTAAAAATGTATTAAGGTTCCAGTAAGTTTCTCTTATAAACTTGACTAGATTTGTAATTTGTGACAGCTGTGATTTTCAGATGTGAAGGACAATGCTTTAGTGCAAAAAAGGACAGTAACAGAAGTAAATATAAATAATTGTTTACATTCAGGCAACATAAAGCAACGTGCTCTCCTAGTAGCACTTTGTCATGTATGGAAATTGCTTTTTTTTTTCTTTCAGGAAGTGCTGCACCCGGTCCAGTGCCCAGCGACCACATCAGACTTTACAGCATGAGATTCTGCCCCTTCGCCCACAGGACCAGATTAGTGCTGAGTGCCAAAGGGATCAAGTAAAGACACATTTCATTATATTTTATTTCAAACTACAGCATTACTAATACAGTAACATGAAATTCCTGTAATCTCTACTTCTGATTAAAGAACCTGTCTTGTTTTCCAGGCATGACACCATCAACATTAATCTGAAAAACAAACCTGAATGGTTCCTTGAGAAGAATCCTCTTGGCCTTGTCCCAACACTCGAGACTACCGCTGGCGAGGTGATATACGAGTCCCCCATCACCTGTGACTACCTGGATGAAGTTTACCCCGAGAAGAAGCTGCTTCCCTCCTCTCCTTTTGGTAAAGCTCAGCAGAGGATGATGCTGGAGCATTTTTCCAAGGTATCTTATACATGAAGACTTCCTAAATCTAGGGGATTTATTTGGTACCCTTGTCTTTTGTTACTATCAAATAATCATATGAATGCCACTGTTTCCTTCAGGTAACACCATACTTCTACAAGATTCCAATGGGGAGAAGGAATGGTGACGATGTCTCAGCACTTGAAGCTGAACTTAAAGAGAAGTTTGCCAAATTAAATGAGGTAGGTTGCAGAGTCACATGCGCTGGTTTCTTCACATATTCACAAAATGTGTTTTGGTAAAGTCAAAATTGTCCCAGGAAATTGTCAAAAATAATGAGTAAAGTGTCCGTCTTTTAAAACTGTACCTGGTTAAATTACAGTGTTTTATACAATGCAATGTTTATTTTTCAGGACCTGGTTAATAAGAAGACCAAGTTCTTTGCTGGTGACTCCATCACAATGATCGACTACATGATGTGGCCGTGGTTCGAGAGGCTGGAGATCTTTGAACTCAAACAGTGAGTAATAATCTCTCAGGACATTTAAAAATAAATACATTTTATTTATGGAAGCATTACAAAACATTCATGGACACCACAGAGAGGAGCAAAAGGTACAAATATTAGGTACAGTACAAAAGGAAGACAATGAAGAGCAGGGAATCTCACCTGAACAGAGCATTTAAGTATTCTCATGACATCTGATAAGTCATATTTCATGAGGACGACTTGTGTTCATGTGCTGTAATTTGGTTCAGGTGACTGATTTGATTCCCGTTGTCTTTTCAGCTGCCTTGACGGCACACCTGAGCTGAAGAAGTGGACAGAGCGCATGTTGGAGGACGCAGCTGTCAAAGCCACCATGCACAGTTTGGACACGTACAAGGCCTTCTACAAGACTTACATCGAGGGGAAACCCGACTACGACTATGGCCTGTAGAAAAGAAGTGAGCAAATCCCAAAACCTTAAACCGTCCCATATGTTAAATCCTACATATTTTTTGTTTATGGTTATTTTGGAGTCATGTCTGTTCTTCTAGATTTGATGTACAAGGAAAACATACTGTAGCAATGCCATGAAATGGGACACAGTAAGAAAGTTTTTATTGGACATTTAAAACTTTTTTTGTTATTTAAAAAAGACATATGAACCATAATGGGAATGAGGTACAGTGACGTCAGTATGACTCAAGGTGTTTTCAATGATGCGGCACTTTTTCTAATAAAAATTGTAGAAGTAATGACTCGGGCCTGAATCATGATTTTCTGTTTGTGTCATAATTAACAAAATACTATATTATTCGAACTGGAGACAACTGGACAACAGTAGAAATTATCAGGGAAGAAAATAAGAAAGTAAAACTTTGCTTCAAACAAAGAAATTGGAAGAAAAAAAAAAACCACTGAACATTACAAAGTGTGATAGCTGCCATCAGATATGCAACAGTATGAATGAAAATAAACACATTGCTATACTGTTTGGTAAACAGGGTGGTGCAGGAATGAGTCAGAAAGTCTGGAAATGAGTTTGCATTTTTGTACATCTGGTTCACTCGTCTCGAAATCGATGATTTTAATCCATTATATTCATGTACGCTAAACAACATATTAGCTGTTGCATGTGTGTGACAGAGTGACAGAGAAAGGGAAGAGAAGGTGAAAGGTGGGCTATTGTGGCAATAAATAACCTGGAATGCTGCAGGTCGGGCCACATCACTAGATATAAATCAAGTGCTTAACTGCAGTTAGCGGCTTCAGATAACCATCTGCAATTTGTCTCACTTGTTCCTTTTCCTCACTGGGCTGCCAATTTAATGCTCAAAGCAGGGGTTGGTAACTGCACCGAGAACATTGGCCTCATTTCTCTCTAACACTTGCCACCTCCTTTCAATTTGCTCCACCATTTTAGCAGTGAAGAAAAACAAATGTCGAAGCACTCAAATATTGATTTAGATGTTGATTACTATGGCACGATTGAAGCTTCAAAGCATGCAGGTCAGCCCTTGTCATTGCCCCGAACACAGCTTTACAACCTCGTGGTGATGGTGACATTGAGGTCCTGTGATAGTGGTTCAGTTTGTTCATAGTCTAACGTTTGCTGTTCACTTTGGGCAAATGCATTTATGCTTTAAATTAAGAAAAATTGTTGTTCATTTGTGAAGATGATATTGCTGAACCAAAGGTGTAAGCAACTTTTGGTTGCCATAGAGCTTATCTTCTGCAATAATCCAAAATCCAGTGGTGAAATCGCATTGGCTTTTGGCGAGCAAAACCAGGGCGACGCTAAAAAAGGTCATACCTGCACCACTCTATTATTTCCTGTTTATACCGGTATAGTATGAGAGGTATTTCTGTTAAAATATTTGCACAACTGACAAAAGTGCTGTCTTTTTTTCATATAAATGGTAAATTGCATTTCTAAAATGATCATCATTCATTTAACTACATGTTGCTGCTTCTTTGAAAAGTAGAGGAATACCTACTGAAAATCTCTTCGCCAGGTTACATCTATAAAACAAGCAATATGACTTGCAAGCTTCAGAAGGAGTCCTACAGACTGAATTTCAAATACCTCCTGCATTGGTAAACCATAAACCCATCAAATCTGGTAGGAAACATTTTGCAACTAGATTTTCCGAACAACAGAGCACAGTGTTAACATTCTGTTATTCTTTTGTTGGAGTCCCTTACACTGAAGAAAGCAGCTGCAGCATAAACCACTACATGTCAAGATATCAGCCGTAACTAAAATAACTGCACCTTTTCGTTTGAGTACTTGTGTATCTGGTGAAACTATTACTTACACTATTCTTAGTAACATTGAATGGTACTTTAAGATCTGCTAGTGCTTTAGCCATGATAAGAAACATAGCCAAAGCTCACAAACTGTCGTCGAAGCTGTGGTGTAAACCTCCGTTTGATAAGTGAGGTGTGTACTCTTGTATGAGCACAGGTGCATTTCTCAACATCTCGTGAAAATGCCTGACTGTTGCAGCATGAAGCTCCCTCTGCAACACCAGAGGCCGGAACAGATTGATGGGCTCCGCTTTGCAAATGATCTCAGGAACCTGCACGACCTCTGGAACTTTACTGTTCCCAACCAGAACGTGATGAAGTCTCTTTTCCTGTAGGCTCCTCTGCAAGAAGCTGAGCACATCCCGCAGCCTGTGCTCCATACTCTCGATGCCCCACGCAGAGGGCCTTTTACTCAGCAACAAGTGCAGCAGAGCAGTCTTTAAATGATAATTAGTCAGGGCAGTTTTCCCTGTGAGCCCTGTCTGCTTTCTGTGTAGGAAAGTCACAATCTGAAGGCAGTGCAAATGACAGGAATTTTGCGGTAGGCGTTTGGCAAAGTGTTTCAGCAAATTCCTCTCGTAGACGGCAAAAGAAAGGGGCCAGTATGGGTCAGGGGAGCTGTCACAGTCTGATGGGAAGTGTGAGACAAAATAAGCATCTGTATCCTCCAGCTGAACCACAGGTACAATGTTCATTACAATGACTTTCCCTGAACGGAATCGGATCTTCAAAGCACCGGCTGCATCAAGATTGAGAAAAGTGACCTCAAAGTCGTATTTGTGAGAGATGCGTCCCCACGCTTTGGTTACAGAGATCTGAAACCACTTCATGACTTGATCTTTGGCTAAGAAACGTGTGTTCCTGGAGCACAGCAGTTCATCAGGACTGAGGTCCACTTTAGGGGTGTCATCCCTGCTATGCAACAGACACAGCATGTCCTCTCCCAGGTTAGCGGAGCCACAAAGACAGCCCTCCTCGTTCTCCCCAAACCTGGTCACCTTTATCTTGCCGCAGCCCTGCATGTCTGGAGGAATGTCACTGGAGGGACTGCACCACAGGTGGAACTGGAAGGAGTACGGATCTGGAGGCGAGAAAGGCACCATAAGGTCGCATGTCAGTGGCTTGCACACCTTCCAGGATTCAAACATGCTTCCAATCCCGACAAAATCCCCGACTTCCATGTCTGCCTCTCTGTCACATACGCTCCGGAGCGACTCCAGCAAGTCATCCGCAAAACCCTCGACAAACTCCCTCACCCTCCAGTTTTCATGGGCTGAAGTGTAGGTGCATTTGTCGCAGAAGTTGCTCAGGACATGCTTATCCAGCACCATTGTCCTGGGCGTGACGGATCCGCTCTCTGAAAACACGTCTTCATCCTCAACTGGCCGGATTTCTGCGTCAGAAGGATCCACCCTGTATATCTCAATAGTGAAGAATATGATGAAAGACAAAGTGCTCCAAAAGTACCAACTGTAACCGTCCTCCAAGCTGGTTTCTTCCTGCTTCGTGTCCAGCTGTGCAAGCTCTTTCTCCAGCTGTGCGAGCTCTTTCTCCAGCCTGGCCTGCTCCAATTCCAGCCTCTCCTCGTGCTCCCGCATGCGAGCCATCAGCACCTCATCCTGCTCCGGGATCGTGGTGTTCTCTTGGGGAAAGAGCAGCGGGTGGTTTAATATGGCAGCGGCCACCACCATACACACTCGTGCAATGGCACCCTGCATCTTCAGCTTGTTTCTAACATGCACATTTAAGCTCCTCGCAGACGCCTGGGCAGCTGCAGCTCAGATCCTGAAACAAAAACAGAAATAGTGGTTTTATTTAGAAGCCAAGTGGATTTCATGTATATAAATGTATGAAAATCATGGTATGTATAAAAAAATCCAGTTATTTCTGTAAAGCACTCCACCCTCAAGGAAAGCACAGATTGTTCCTCTAAATATAGAGTCAGTGGGCTGAGTGACGCACTCGCCCAGTATCAGACTGTGCAACATGAGGGGAGGAAGGAAGATCGGGCCCTTTGGGTGCCCTCCTCTGATAACCCTATTTAGTTACCAACATTGTGCCTGTTAGCATTTTGTCTAAAATAAAATGGATAACTGGAAAGTGTCCAAGTAAAGTGTCAAAGAGAAACAATGTGGAAAAAAACTCTCCTTGACGTTATTATCATCCTTCCCGGACGTCATCAGTTAACCAACAAGTAATGCAATACACTGTACATAAGAGGAAATTACATAAGTGTCTTGCTTCTGTTCCAAGCTTTTAGTACAATTTAAAGAGACAGCTACACACTGCTCTGCTGAGAATCGACTGAATGACTTGTTAATCTTTAAAATAAAAGCATAAAATGTGCGACTTCCTGTGACAAATGAGTGCAACAAGAAACAGGAAGTGCCCGTACATCATGATCTCAGTGTCAGATCATGAACTTATGAGCTGTTCTCTGTCAGACCTGAGCTTTAAAATGTCAGCAGTAATGGCGGGGCAGTAATGGCAGAATATGCGAGGCCACAGAGCCAGGGAAACTTCCCATGACTTACTCACTGGGATGTTTTCCAACACTTACATGGCTCAGTCCATCCAAACAAACATCAGGCCAGACAGAGAGAGGCCTGCGCTGTAGCTCATTAAAAATCAGAGATCAGCTATTGTTACAGAACATGGAGTCAGCATAAACAAAGGCTGGATCCTTACTCACTCACTTCTCCTCAGTGCTGAAACCACTACATAAAAATGCTCTGGTAGAAGAAAAACTCTTTAAGAAGTCAGCAAAATGTTGATATTATTAGATTATTATTATGTATTAATATGTATTCAATGCTTCATATTTTATCATTTTGGTATGAAACACCTTAATCTTTAAAGCAACTACCTACTACAGCTGTCAAATAAAGGAAGTGGAGTTAAAAGTGCAATAATTTTCCTCTTAGAATACATATACGGGAATAAAGAGTACAGTATTTTAGTAGCATTAAATGGACGTAGTCAAGTAAAGTCAGTGGTGTGCAGTAACTATATATGTCAGTTTATTAATTACAGTTATGAGGTATCTGTACTTTATTTAAGTAGCCAAGTTATATACTTCTACTCAACAATATTTTAGTGGTAAATATTATACTTTTCCCTCCACTACATTTATTTTAAAGGAGCACTTCACTTACAAAATGACCATTTATGTATCAGTTAGTCATGCCATGTTACCTTGAATTCATAAGGAAAACTTCTCGCATGCCTCCCCGGAAAACAGCAAACATATTGATTTACTGGTTGATCGGGGGCCGCATTTAACAACAGGAAACCTATATGAAGACATCCTTTTACAAACTTACACAACTCATGCAGTGTAATCCAAGTCTCAATTATCCAGTCGTATGCTCTGTACTTTTCTATCACGCATTTTTTTTACTGAAAACTGTTTATTATTGCCAGACTCCAATACTAAGGTTTTTTTTTGTGTGTGTGAAAAGGTATGTGTTTGGGAAGTACTGAGCATATGACTGGATATATGAGGATTGGAATATACTGCACGAGTTGTGTGAGAGTTTGGAAACGGATGTTTTAATATAATTTAATTAATTTATAATTTTGTTTTTCACAGCCTCAAATCCATTCTTTTCAATGTAGATGCACAGGCGCACTCAAACGCCAGAGCAACGCCGTCGTGGTGCAAACGCATTCCCAGTTTGGAATGCAGCAGCACACACCGCATGTCATGTGATGAGGAACAACCAATCACAGCAGACAAATATCTTAACCTTCCTCCGTAAATATCAGTCTGTGATAAATATGGAGAAGTTGATCATTTTAGCCCAGGAGAGCCCAGAGCTTTACATCTGTCCCACAGATGATAGGCCTACACACTTATAAACAGCGTCAAGAAGACGATCAGCTCTGCACTCAGAATATCAGGTCAATAGGCTGTACGATGCTTGTTAAGGTTGCTGAACAACTTCAGACTACAACCTGCCGCCCTCTCCTGAATGCTGGCGCAAAAAGGGCACAAGACCACCCAGTGGGAGAACCTCATGTTTTCCAGGCGGTTAAAGATGCAGCATGTGTACGGCCCCAAATCAATACATAAGTCAGTATGTTCAAAGTTTTCCGTGGAGCCATCTGAGGAACAACAAAGTTCTCCTCACAAATTCAAGGTAACACAGCAGCATGACTTACTAATTAACACAAAGTGATTTTGTGGAAGAAGTATTCCTTTAATGGTATAGTTACTTTGCAGATTCAGATAATGAATACAAAATATAATCAACTAATAAACTCTAATGTGTTATTTACTACTAATAAACTACCCAGTAGTGTTTAATTCAGTTCAATTTAATTGTATGTATAAAGCCTAATATCACAAATCACAAGCCTGTAACAGAGTTGATGTGTGATGATTAGAGGAGAAATGGCAGAGCTTAAAGGTCCAGGTGGGGAAAAAAAAACAACAAACAAAACAACAACTCAATCACTTAGGATTTTGCTAAAAGAAGGAAATCACCTGTTGTTTTATATATATATAGATCCCAGGGTTCATTTTTTGTATTAGGGAGCTGTTTAAATGTGTAATATGTGGTAGATTTTATTTTGTTGAACTATTAATATTGTATACAGAATCTGAATCTCACTCTGAGTTATGGTTATCGTTCACAAACTAAAGAAATGAGAGATCATTTTAAATTTTACTGAATATTTGAAGGCAAACTTTTAGGGTGACATGAACTATATCACTTATTTTGTTGCAGTTCTATGCTCTTAAATTATTATTTTTTCCTTCTTTTTTTTTTAAACTAATTAGTCATATCGTTAAGAATATTGTTATCGCAAAAATACCCTGAAATATATTATTTTAGGGCCATATTCCGAGTATAAAGTCATTAAAATCAGCTCCATCCTATCAGCTGCAACATTCAAGTGATGTACTCATTAGTGCATCAATAATTATAATCCAGTAATATAGTCTAATGTACATTATTATGAAATTAACCATTCTGCATAATGAGTACTTTAAATACTTTAAGTTTATTAATTTTGTACTAATTTTGAACGCAGGACTTTTACTTGTAGACTAGCAGATAGTTATTGCAGATTCTTTCCCCACTGAGCAAAGTAAAAGTACTTTAAATAAACTTGTACATATTTCCACCACCCCTTAATGACGTGTCTGTGTGCTTGTAGGGTGATGTGGTGTTCACACGTTGCCAACGGTCACCTCCTCGGTTGTCTTAGCAACAAAATAGAGACCCGCTCATCGTGGAAATATCGCGGCAGGAAAACATTATAGCTACCAGACACATGAGTCACTTCACAGCTCACAAACACTGCTCTGTTGTAGGATGCTGTGCAAAGATTTAACGCAAACAACAACTAAAATGTTTACCTTCCAGAAAATATGAGCAACACGCGTCATGTGGGCAACATATCTGCATGTTATCAGCTTAAACTCGCTCATCGTCGATCCACAAGTCTCCAGATGTAAGTTATATGTAAAACATAGGGTGTGAAAAGTTAAAAACCTACCTTTGGGGTGATCTCTGGATGAGTTCATGATGTTAAAGTTGTGTTGCAGGCTCTCCAGTTGAAGCAGCCTCATGTGAACAGCGAGGGAAAATGTTTCTCAGCTCTTGTCTTACACATTTCCTGACTGTGTGCTCCACCCATACACACAGAGACACCGCCCAGCTTCCCCTCTCCAACCCCTAAAATAGGCATTTTGACCTGTCAACAGTAGACTTCCGGTTTCATGATGAATTTAAATGTCATGCATGGAGTGCAAAAAGAGCTTAAATAAGTCTGAACAGCAGAGGTTTTTGACTCTTTAAATTGCACTTGGGCTGCTTTAGCTGTGCAATTTTGATGTGATGTTTATAGATTATCACTGTAATAGTTCAGCTCACAGCTTAACTCACTGCAGAATATGAATTTGATTACAGTACATATGTGTGATATTGCTGGAAATAAGGTATTAGATCCTTATTTAAGTAAAAGTAGGCTACAAATAGCACACTGTAATAAAAATCTATTACAAGTCCTGCACTGAAAATGTTACGTAAATATAAGTGTGTAAGTATCAGTGTGTGTACCCAAGTCACTTGACTTGGGCTCAAGTCAGGCTCAAGTCCAAATTTGACGACTTTAGACTCAAAAAAGATCAATAAAGACTTGCAACTCAACTTGGACTTTAACACCAATGACTCCCGACTTTATTTAGCTTTGTGCTACTTTTATACTACTATTCGTTTCCAGCAAGTCAGCACTTAATTCCCCAGATGATCAACTTTGAATCAATCTGACAGAGTCCTGTCAAGTTGCAGGAGACAACCCAGGAGCGCATTATGACTTGTTTAGGATTGGAAACTCAAAGCTTAGGACTTGGGACTTGAGTGCAAAGACTTGAGACTTACTTGTGACTTGCAAAACAATAACTTGGTCGCACCTCTGGTGAGTTTAATTAGAAAAATGTACTTAAAGCATTAGGCTAATTATTGTATGCTGTAAAACTTGAATTACTAGAAAATCAGTAATTCTGAAACCCCTAAAAACTTTAACTCAGTCATAAGTGGATGGTGTGGATAAAGGCATTTGTTTGTGATACACTTTTAAGCCTTTTTAATAACCTGAGAAAATTGGCTTCATTTCTTTTTAAAAAAACATGGGAAGAAGCCAATGAGCAGCAGAAGTAGAAATAACCCCAAAAAATTAGCAAAAAATTAGTAAAAAGAGAAAATTGAGAACAAAAAAATTAGTTAAAAAGAAGAGGAAAGAAGGTGAAAAAACAAAGAAATTACCACAAGAGTGCTTAATTTAAAAAAAAATAAATTAAATTTAAAAATAATATTTTTTAAATTATAATGACTCTGTAACATAATTTAAAATAATATTTCCCTTTATGAATAATTTTCTAAATCTTTTTTTTTTTTTTTTTTTTCTAAATTTGTGGAACATTTCTTACTAAGTTGCTCATTGCCTTTTTCCCCATATTTTTTTAAGAAATTCCACCCATTTTCTCAGGGTTCAAAGGTTCAAATACTTGTGAAAAGCGTCTAAAAGCGTCTAAAAGCAGCTCAAGAAAAGTGATGTTGCTCCAGGTTTCAAAGGGTTAAACTAAGATGTTGCAAAAATGTAAATCAAACCAAAAAACTCTCTAAAATTTTCACCTCTAAAAAACAACCAGTTTGGGCCTTGGTGTGGGTCAAATGTTTCATGAAATACCTCAGCTAACTTTAAAAATAACAACACTGTTGATACAATAACAAGAAATATTTACATCCACAAGATGGCGCTTCATGCTTGAGCAAATCAAACTTTCTGAAGTCGACTTGGAGACATTAAACACAGTAAACTGACAGACACTGTTGTATCAACACTGGCACTCCTATGTGGATGCCAACCTAAAACAAATCCACATATTTCCATTGTTTACAAAGTGATGAATTAATATCATGCCATTGTGAACGACTGTCACAGGAGTGGATGAATCTGTCATAAAAACAAATATTTTGTCTGGCAGTGTCTTCAGTGTAACACCCCTCAGGAAATGCTTTTGTGTCTTACGCAACACTTTTCGAGAACCCTGAAATAAGCACAAATGCATAAGTACAGTTACATTTTCGAACACTGCAGCAGAGATGACAAACTCCGAGGGCACAGAGACGCTCCTTCTGCAGGTTCCCTGGGACTGGTTAAGACATCAGAGCTTCCTCGGATCTCCATTCTTCCCAGTCTTCTTCTCTCTGTCAGTTTACCTGAGCTGCTGCTTGCCTTACGTTTGCCTGGATTTGCTCTGTTCCAGACTTACCCTGGTCCATCGATTCAAGATCCAGCCTCAGAGCAAGGTGACATGGGCGATGGCTTGGAGGTGTTTGCGCAAAATTCTCCACAACCATGTGTGTTTCATTTTCCCCCTTTCTGTCATGCACTGGTACTGGAGACCTGTGTTTGCTCCTGCGCTTGCACCTGAGATGCTGAGCGTTGTTAAGGACGTACTGGCCTGCCTCCTCCTGTTCGACATGCAGTACTTTCTGTGGCATCTGCTGCATCACAAGGTGCCCTGGCTCTACCATGTCTTCCATAAGGAGCACCACCTCTACACAGCCACCTTCTCCCTGACGACAGAAAACACAAGCGTGTGGGAGATGCTGAGCCTCACCTTCTTCACAGGCTTGAACCCTGCTCTCCTGGACTGCCATCCACTCACCGAGATGCTCTTCTTCGTCACAAACATGTATCTGTCTGTGGAGGCGCACTCTGGCTATGAATTCCCCTGGTCTCCACATAGACTGGTGCCCTTTGGCCTCTACGGAGGAGCTCAGCATCATGACATACACCACCTAAAATTTAAAGTAAACTATGCGCCATACTTCACACACTGGGACAGACTTTTTGGCACACTGAAGAAAGCACGGAGGAAGTTGGGGAAGACTTTAAAGAGGCCATGATTGTCAGAGTATGTGAAGTATATTTTTATTTCTGCTGTTAGCCTTTAAGAAAAGCAACTCATGAAGAAGACTGACTGATTTAATTTATTTAAAAGACCACTAGAGATACTTAAAAAACTTTTGAGAATGAAACACACCCCCTGTTGTCTGTCATGCTCAAAAAATAGGTTCAAATTTTGGAAAACGTCTGTTTTAATCAAGTCTATATTCTTAATCACAGCAACCTATACGTACATTTTACTTTTACTTACTGTTTTACATCCGGTTGACATTCTTGTTTACATTTAGTTTATCCATTTTTCAATTACTACACTTGTCTACCACTAATGATTGGTATTATTGGTCCGTTTATCTGACTCCTTACACTTTCCCACCACCAATTTGATCATGCAGCATGGAAAACAAGACAGGACACATTCACCCAATGTTTTTGGAGCACTCACTCATATTTTGGTGATGTCACTTAGGTAACAATTTGTTTGCACAGCTGCACCCTAGTTATTACCAGGCTCTGTGGAAGGAAGGAAATCAAATCTAGACTTGTATTTCCATCTGTAAATACAATGTATGAAGACACAAGGTTTGCACTGATACTGATAATCTTGAATCTTCCAACCATGATTATTACCACACCCCAAAAATTAATTAAAATGAGCCATGTTTCTGCAAAAGTCTCTCAGTTCATGCATCATATTTTCTCTCATATTTAAGCAATTTTTCAGTCTAAAACAGAATTCTTTTAAAAATATATTTTATTAGTATTATCCATATCATCGATCAGTAAAAAGGTTTACAAAAAAAGAAAAACTGGCAGCATTTTGTGCCATTTTTGCCAACAAATAGTGACAAAACAAAAAGCTCAGAGATGGGCAAGATGGACAATTTAGGTAGCAACATGGACTGTAAAAATAAGGGACCGAGCTACCCACTGGTTTGTGGACACCCGTTCTGAGCCTCGAGTTCAGCATTACAGTTGTCACCATCTTGTTTTTTGTGGAGCTAGAAGTGACCATATTTGGGCAAGAGGCTGGTGCTGTGGAGGATGGAGGACACTATCAGCAGACAGCCTGTCACTCAAAGTGACCACATCCTAAATTATGTGTAACTTTAGCCTTGATAAAATGTAAACGTCAGAGTAATATAAAAAAAAATCCACCCCCTGTACAGCTGTCGTAAAGGGAGAAATTAACTATTAAGACTCAAATCATTTACATCAGGCTGTAAACATGTTTATTTCTGCTGTAAAGCTGGCTGTTGTAACACCGGGGTCTATGAGGATTGACTGTCGTCTGGAGCCAGCCTCAAGTGGCCGTTCAAAGAACTGCACTTTTTGGCACTTGGTGTTGGCTTCATTTTTCAGCCTTGCTGCTTATGCTCGACATGTTCTCATACAATAGTTTGTATGATATCTAATGAATTAACACCCAATGAATGACGTTACTTACATAACGTAAAGTTACACATAGGTCAGGTTTAGGAAAAGAAACATGGTGATGATGTACCTTAAAATAACTCAAAATTCACTTGAGCCTCGTTTCCACCAAGCAGTCCGGTACAGTTCAGTTCAGTACGTATTTTTATCCATTTCCACTGTGAAAAATTGTGGATGGTACCAATGGAACCATTCCGTACTGTTCCCATTTTTGCCCCCCCCCCCCCCCCCCCCCCCCCCCCCCCCCCCCCCCCCCCCCCCCCCCCCCCCCCCCCCCCCCCCCCCCCCCCCCCCCCCCCCCCCCTCCTCTGTTGGGGTACCTAGCACACCGATCTGGTACTAAAAGGTGGAGCTGTGAACACTGCAGTCTGTTGATTGGTCAATAGCACACGGTCACTCTGCTCAGGGCTGAGTTGTGGCTGGTTTGTGGCTCATGTAACCTCTGTTCATACTGTGGAGAGTTTTACATACATTAGTAACAACTATAAAATGAAAGGATGTTTTTGCTGCCTCTTGCAGCAGCTGTAGTCTGAGGAAAAAATACTTTAATTTACTGGGCTGACTGCCAGCAACTTTTAAGGTGGAACGTTAACTTGTAATGTTACCAGATCTATGAGTTAACAATGTGAATCCATCATCACACCTCAAATTTCAATGATAACTTTGACCATTACTTTCGTTTTTATTGTTTCTTTTGGATGAAATGCACTTTTAGGATCTTTAAGTGTTTGAAAATATATATTAATTTCGACCAGATTATGTGAACTGCATTTATTCTAATCCTCACCCTGTGGCTACGGCAACACTAAACCCCTGAGCTTGCCTGAGAAGGACTAATGCACAAATCCAGTATTTTTCAATAACCCATGGAGAGAGACTCTCACTGCAGCCTGTTCTATTTTGCCCTCATTTTGTTAATGATAAACGAGTTGCAGACGTCCCCTTGTGTCACCAGTGAAGAGCTAGAAAATACAGTTCAGGACAGAGCAGTGAGTGACAACAGCCCTGCCCACATTTAAAAGTACTGTTTGCAGTGCAAACACTAAACGGACCTAGGGTCTAGGTACCATGTCTGAAGGGTTACTTTTGGTTCCAAAGGTACTATACTGAAAGTGTTTGGTGGAAACGGAGCTATAGTTTCACACAGTCCCAAATGCTGGTCTTATGGGGGAAAGTCCTTTGTTTCACCACCCCAGCCTACCTCCTTATGTGGACTTTTGGTCTTTATACTACTTCCTTCTTAACTACCATCAGTGCATTGGTTACATGATCACAGCCCCCCTGATTACATGGGTTATATACAAATTGTGGTACTTTTTGTGGGTATATATATATATATATATATATATAAGTGCAAGAACAACATGTGCTGTTAATAGCATGTACAGTAAACCATGCTGGTCTATGCTTTTTCTTTTAGCAGGGAAGTTTGTTCAGTGCCATTTGAACAGGTTATAATGAGGAGCCCCAAAACCAAATCCTTCTTTAGGCCCCCAAATGTCTGGGGTCGGCCCTGAAACAAATGTTCCCTCTTTATTTTTCCCAATGTAGGAGTTGCAGCATCATTTCTCTCCATTTTGATAATTGTATATGTTTTTGTGACCGTAGCAGGTTCTCTTAATATTCTCAACATATACTAATCTGTAGTTTTATATATCCCACCCACTCTCTTCACTGAAAGTTATTCCCATGTGCTGTCATTTTTTAAAATAATTTCCAGGAAACAGATATATGCCAAACTGAATTTTGTTGACAATGAAAAGGAGACGATGATGTAGAGTTACTGTAGAAATAATAACACTGAGGGTGCTGATGTCTCAACAAAAAGAGTCTGTGAAAAGTAATATTAGAAACTATGCTTGGATGTCATCACAGATTACACACACTGACCTTTGAAAGCAGCTCTGGCTGATTTTAAAAGTGAATGAGGGCACATCAGTGCCAGTGTTGCAATAATGAGAAATGAAAGTGGACAGGCTAATCAGCAGACCTGAAATGACTGGACTGAACAGATGGGCTTCCTTCCTTATGGTTATATGGGACTGAAACATGAATCTGTCGAAGTGTTAGGTGGTTTAATGTCTGTCTACACTGATGTCTACCTAAGACAAACATGTTATTTTGCTGTATGAGCATTTTTATGAAACTTTGCACAGAGATGCCTCTCCTCATGAGGAACAAATTTGCCTCAAGAACCCATAACTTCAGGTTATATAGATTTCCCGCCATTTTGAATTTTTTGAAAAACACTTAAAATCGATCTCTTCCTAGGAAGTTTGACTGATCTGCATGAAACTCGGTGAACATAATCTAGGGACCAATATCTAAAGTTCCCTCTTGGCAAAAGTTGGAAAACTTACTAAAACTGACTTCTATAAGGCAATGAATATTGCGGAGGGTGCGGCTCATCACATAAAGGTGTATAACATTTCAAGGGTTTCACCGATCACCACGCAACTTTGTAGGCATATGATCACACATAATCTGAGGGGACCCCTCCATTATTGACCCCATCAAACAAAATGGGGGCGCTAGAGAGCTAATTTCTTATCTAGGCCTAACCGCCATATCGATTTTTACTAAACTTGGTAGATATGTAGAACAGGACGCCTCAAGGTGACTGGAGAAATTTAACTCTAATTGGCAACTGGGCGGTGTTAACAGAAAAATGCTTAAAAATGGCTAAAATGCAACCGATCGCTGTGGCTCCCCCTGTGGCCGAATGTTGTTGTTTTTTTCTAATTTTTGGTATGACTAAGTCATGGTATGTATGCTGTACTCAATGTGTATGGACTAGTACTACAATATTAAAGCAACTACAAACAACCAAAGGCCATTGAAAACATGTACGTTTTAAGATTTGTCTTAAAAGTGTCAAGGGAGGGGAAGGATTTGATTGAGAGCGGAAGGCTACTGCGAAGGCACGTTCTCCCTTACCCACCAGCCTTGATCGTGGGACAGTTGAAAGACAATGTTCTGAGGATCCAAGAGGTCAGAGTTGGAGTAGGGGCAGAGAAGTTCAGCAATGTACTGGGGTGCCAGCCCATGTATGGCTTGAAACCAAATGACTATTTCACAGTTTGAGTACCTCAAACACCTACATTGCTGTGGAGGCAGAAATCACATATCTTAAAGTCTGGACTAATAAAACTTAGATTCAAGTATCTGCATCTGGTAATATGGGTGAAGTGACCTTTAAATACCCATCAGATGACACAACTGCTACTTATTTGCGGAAAGCCCCTAAAACACCAAACCTGCTGTTTAAAAAAACCCTGCTGTCAAATGACTCTGTTATATAACTATATATGCATCCATTTAACTTTGTTAAATGATCTATTTTTGATTATTTTGGTTATTCTTTGTAAATCCTATTTTAATTTTTTTTCATCAAGTGACCTCACTGTCGATTTCTTCATCATACATTCTCGCAATGTTTCTACCACTACAAAACCCTTTCATCACAATCTTAAAGTAAAATATATTATGATTTGTTTTACAAAAGGTGCACAAAAGGTAGAATACAACTACAGATTTTCCCGATCCCAACTTCTTGTCAGCGCTGACCACATTATCTGCATTTTACAGAATGTGGAACTTGGATTGAGAAACCAAACCACTATACATAAAAGAGAAACTGCACTCAGACACTCGCTTTTCACATCACCACTATACTGAGATGTAAGGGGATTCTTGTGTCAGGCAGTCATCCACTCTGATTCGTGTCGTTCTATTAAAAGCGATTAGTGAATCGACAGAACTTTTAGTGTCGTTCTTTATCAGTAATGCCAAACATTTTCTATTTTCAGCCCCTCAGTTGTGCAGATTTGTGTGTTTTCTCTGTCTTGTGAAACAGGCAGTGAAAGTGAAAAGAATTTTGGAAATGTTTCAACATTTTATTGAACAAAGAATTTATTGATTCATCTAAGAGAAAGGGTAATGGGTCAAAAGGATAATGCTTTAAATTGCAACCATTTGTTGTTTGTTGTCCATGAAAAGTGCCAGTTGGAGCTGAAACAATGAATTGACAGAATTTTAGTCGGTGTCAATTTTTATTTTTAAAGCAAAAACGACAAAAATTCACTTGTTTCAGTTTTTCAGATGTGAGCGTGTGGTTTTTTTTTTTGCAATTTGAATCTTGAATTGACTATATTTTCCACATACTTTCACTTCTTTATATCAATAAACAATCTGCATCTTTTGCCAAACTCCAGGCAA